GTGTGACTCAGAGGTGTGTGTCGACTCAGACTTGGCAGAGTTTTGGGGCTCGGCAGCAAGCACTTGCAGCACGGCGACGCCCAGGAAGTCTTGCAAGGAGGGAGTCGATGTGTTGTTGTTGTTGTTGTTGGGGGATGAGGACGTTTTGCATATTGACTCCGGGTGATCTGATAGGTCGCTGTCAGAGTGAGAACGCCAGAGCTTATTATGCCTTTGTTTGCTGTGGAAGAAATGGGAAAATAAATAGCAGGAAACAACCAATATCACATGCCTCAAATTGCCCTGTTTTATTAGAAAATGTTCATTATATATATATATATAAATTAGTAATAATTATTAGTCAAAATCCCTGCATCATTGTATCTTTGAGATTGTTGTGGAAGTTCAGATAAAATACATGGTCATGTTCCTACATTAGGTTCATCTTAAACGTAAATATCAACCTAAGACGGTTGTGAATAAAAATATTTAAATATGTTGTGACATCAGGTCACATGACTTAATTTTTACATATTTCTGGGTTCCCTTGGAGCGTGCTGCAGATTTGAACTGTAACATTAATTTTTTTAACAATTGTTGTAATCAGCAAAATGAATGGTAAACCACATGACTCAACAATGATCACATGATCATGTGACTGTGGGCAAAACTATAGGAAGATGAGCCTTGGAATGCAGGTCACATTGTGTTAATAATACTTTTCCAGAAAAACAACTTCCTTACATTTGACTTGTAGAACCAACGATTCATGGACAGTTCTAACTTTTATAGATGCAAAAAAAAAAGGTAAAGGTAAAGTTTCAGTGCTTCTCTCACCTGGCGAGCAAAATTCCCTGATACTCCTCCAGCTGTTTCATAAAGGACGGGTTTGGTTTGGTGACGGAGCGTCTCTCTTTGACGTAGTTAAAGGCGGTGTCCAGGTCCCAGCCGTATTCTTTCATGGCGTAGGCGATGACGGTGGAGGCCGAGCGGCTCACACCCATCTTACAGTGAACCAGACACTTGGCACCGGCTTTTCTGTGAGGGACAGAGATCGTGTTGCATAACAGTGACACTGAGAATCCCCGGAGAAGGTAAACACACTCCTGTGTTTGTTGTCGTGTTTATTTACTTGGCTTTAGTGATGAATTTGTAGGTGTCGTTCCAGTACTCCAGCAGGTTGGTGGCCTCCTCGTCATACACTCTGATGTTGTGGTACTCGAACATGCCGGGGAAGAAGTTGTCTATTTCCCTGGTCACGTTCAGTATGTACTGCACTCTGATGGGGACAAGAAGAAGAGGTGGTTTGGCACACTCATATTTTAAATCCTTTTTACAGCATTTTTAAATGGAAATGATAAGTCACACTTGTTTAAACCATTTTTAAGATACTAAGACAAGATCATGTTTATAGAATTGTCCTATAAACATATATTTTAACATATATCCAAAAAAGGTCCAAAATAATGAAAACTATAATATTGGTTTCATAAAATGTTTTGTCAGGCAATGCAGGCAAAAGCAAAGCACAGCTTATAACAAAATAAAAATAAAAACCCCACATCTGTGTCTCTTACCCACTACTCTGCAGCTCTTCCAGATTAGAGGCGTTCCATTCAGAGCCCTAAAAATAAAACTCTCGTAGTTAGTGTTGTGGTAAATAATCTGATATTATGAATCTTCATATTTCCAAATAATCTACTGTGTTTTGTCCAGATAAAATTGTTGACAGGACGGGAACACGACACTCCTTGTTCTCACCAGATAGACATGATCAAAGATCTCGGTGGGACTGTCCATCTGTCCCAGGATGACGATCATCTCGTTGTCTATGAACTCTTTGAACTCCCTCAGGTTACAAACCATCTGCATCTCCAGCTCTGTTCGGATCTGAGGAACACAATCAGGCAATTCAGAGAAACAGCAGGAACGCTAACAAGAACAGAGGAGGACTGCAGTGGAAACATTTGATTTTTCAGTAAAACATTAAAAACGCAAAGTTTTGAATGTTTTACTGGAAAATCAAATCTCTCACCTCTTTACAGGTGACGTTCTCCAGGTCTTTCTGCATCATGATCTCCCTGAGCCTCATTTTGATCAGCTTCTCTGTGCGCTCCCTCTCTGTGGGCCTGTACGTGCACAGAAATACACATTGATTTTTAATCTCACCTTTATAATTTTTATTTATTTTTAAAAAGCTTGTGGATTAGTGTGAACCACCTTCACATGTACAACAGTGACTTTCTTCATTTCAGACTCAATGACTTTTTTTGTTCTGGCAGAGAATTGCCACTTTGTTTCTTTCTAAGAAACTGGAGAGGGAACAGAAAATCTGAGAGCATGACCCATGGGCGATCCACCACAAAGTCCTCGCGGAGAATGTGTCTGTTGTTGTGCCTCGTCGTGTTCCTAACATCTCTATTCAGAGCAGGCATTTAGACTCTGGATATCACACTAATGATGCCAAGAAATGGCATAAAATCCCTCTCAGGGGAGAAGCTTTTATTTCTCACTTTGTCTAATTAGGATATCAGCTCAGAAAAACTGTGCCAGGACTGAGAGAATCTTTTATAAAAATAAACTTACGCTACAGAAGAAATACAGATATATAGAGATAGATATATTCAGCTAAAAATAATGAGAAATGACTTAGTCATGTATATCACCCAGGCCTAGTTAGATCCCAACGTCTTTTTGGTCCAGCAGTGACTGATGTGGAAGATCACCACAACTTCAAGTGTATTTATTTGTCTTTCATCTGATAGAACAGCCACTAAGACCACAGAGCAGACACTAATCTCCCAGTGCTGTTTGTTGTTGACTTTCACTGACACTTTAACCCTACAACAAGCCTCAACAGAGGAGCTGATAGAGCTGACAGTGGGTCAGTCGACTAAAAATAAACCCTTGTGACGAGAAGAGCGTTTGTGCCGAGCAATTTTGGAATGGAAACAGTTTTGTGGAATCAGTGATGCAGAAGAATCCCACAGGAAATCAGGGTTTCATCCAGTAATTCATGATCACATGTCGACATGTGAACGACCTCCTGTGACATCTTGACCTCTCACTCTGAGCTAAACAGGCGGCAATGTCAACAGAGCAGTCAGGCTGTTTTGGGATCGTCTCTGTGTGGGAGAACAAACAGACTTTATGAACGTGTGTGATAACACGCGTGTGCATGTGTGTGTTTGTGTGTTTGTGTGTTTGTGTGTTTGTGTGTTTGTGTGCAGACGACCTTGTGTGCAGACGACCTCATAAAGTGTGCTTACAATCTTGATAGCGAGTGTATTTGTGGGACAAACACACCTCCTGCTGAGCAGCACAGCTGGGATTTCCAGCCAGTCTGTAAATACGGGTGCTTCCTGATTGTCAAGTTTAAAATGAAACTCGTTTTTAACTCATTACTTTGGCTCCATTTAACTTCCTGATCTTCGACCAGTTCTTACTGGCAGCTGCTTCTGTTTGTTCCTGGTCGTGTCTGTTGTTTGTTTCCATAGGTAAATCAAGACGGCTAAACCAAGGGCTATTTTAGACACTTGTGGATATCAACAAGAGACAGACGTTCCACGTACTCAGGCACATGACTAAGAAGTTAGGAGGGGAATTTCCCTGCTATTTGTAAAGACATATATCCATGTCCCTCTATGTATTTCTCTGTACTCTATATGTTATGTGATGACAGCTCTGTGTCAAATGGATTTGATGATGATGTGTGAGGGTCAACGTGAGGTGCACAAATGACAAATAGCTGCTTTTATGTTTTCCTGAGAGTCGGTCAGACAGCATGTGACCTCAGGCCCAGGGTCAGGCCTGTGTGGACTAACAGCCCAGGATCACCTGCTCTAGAGATGTAGCAACACTGTCAGCGTGTGTGTGTGTGTGTGTGTGTGGGGGGGGGGGGCGGTTATTTGATACTGCTCCTGTTGTGATGATGTGGCCGACATCGCGAAGTGTCAGAAACATTTGTCCTCATCTGAATCTCTGATGCAAGTGTTTCAGTGGAAAACATTCCCACGTTTTCCTTCGGGGTACACACATCTGTTCATGTTTTCATGCAGTAGCCTACACCTTTCACACGCAACTAATGAAACGCATGTGTACACACAGTATCATGTACAGGGCTGTGGAATCAGATCACATCGCTGTTCTTGCTTTGAAATATGTGTGGATTCACACTACAGAAAATCTGCACCACATGTCAACAGACCTTTTCTTTATATAAATATATAAAACGTTCACACGATTCTGTTCTACTTACACGTCTGTGAAGGGGACGGGCGAGTTTGTACGGTGGGACTCGACGTCCTGCATGGCGTTCCACTCGTTGATGCACAGCTGATTAGAGGAGACCCTACTCTGGTAGTAGCTGATCCAGGTCATAAACAGGCTGCCTGGGTAATGGTTATGGCAGCGAGCAACCTCACATGCTTTGTGGAGGGACTGCAGTGCCGACCTGCAGCAGACGGGGAGGAAATACAGGGGAGGATAGAGAGGTTGTTTTGTTTATTATAGCATTTTGAAAGACAAACAAGAAACGCAGGAGGAAGAAAATGTCAACGTTAGACCAAAGAGGGTGACGTTATAAATCATAATAAGGAGAAGTATGAGAAACTGCTACTGGATAACAAAGAGACTAGGACGTGAGGAAACGGAGACAGTGAATTTAGATATGAAAAGGAAGCAGCGGATTGTGAGTCAGGGAAAGATAAGGACCAGGCAGGAAGCAGAAAGATAGAGAAAATAATAAAGAGTCGCAAACATCACAGTGGTGGTGGAGTTAAGGGAGCTGGAGGTCAAAGTCAAAGAAGCCGAGTGTAGGTTCAAGGACTAGAGGATTTGATTCAAAACCTAAAGGTAATTTCATTCCATTTGACTAGAATAAATGTTTGCTCACCACATGGCCTGCACAGAAACTGGCTTGAAGATATGAACCCTGTTCACCGTTGACACACTGAAGCCTCTGGAAGGGTAGAGAGAGAGAGAGAGAGAGACAAAGAAAATAAATTAACGATAACAACAAGTATTTTAACATTACAACTATTATAAGGTGATAATTTGTCTCACCCATCTCCATCCAAGTGGATCAGAGTGTCGCTCCACAGAGGTAGAACCAGACCCACAGTACAGCAGCTGTAACAAAAGATGAATAGATTAAAATTTCAAACTAAATCTGTTTTTCCATGTCAGTAAGCTAATTAACTACAGTATGTTTAACAGGTTTCAGTTGTATCAGTCTATTACTTGAACGATAATAGGTTGTAGTGACACTAACCTATCAGAGGAGAGGAAATCAATCCCCAGCACGATGCTCTCCTCCGTGTCCTGCCTCCCATTGGTGGAGACCACCACCATGTACCGGGTAACCTGAGGGTAAGAGCTCTCCAGACGAACAGCCTGGGGTAAAAGAACAGACAAATAAAGTGGTTGAACAGAAGAAAGAAAAAAAAAATCCTGTTTTTTTTTTTCTAGGAGAAGCTTCTAAGGCTTGAGCTACAAACCAGCATAACCCCTCATACGTCTCAAGAGTTACACAAGAGCACATCAATATTTGATCAAAAACTGTCTTACAAAATGTGAAGCCTGTGAAGTTAAAAGACACATACACTAAAAACACCACTTTGTTGTTTTTTTTTTCACTTCCAAATACAGTTTAGAAAATCATCGGAAAACTGAACTAAAATACATGACATTCAGTCAATATCACAATATCATGTTCAGTATTGTGTTACTGACCAGTCGGATGGTGTCCTCTGGTCGCAGCACAGTGAACATGGTCTGGAGATGTTTCTGGAGATCACCTGCACGGACACAATCCACACTTCCTTTAAAGTCTGTTTATTTAAGGAACAATAGCATTTGGAGGTCGAGCAGACACCGAACCCCCTTGCAGCAGGTTTCCAGAGCATTTATAACGGTGTCTCACACACAACAGTATTTTATTTTAGACATCAGCTAAGAAAGCCACAAGAATATTCTTCCACTATTTTTTAACCATACAATTTCAAAGTCATTTATGTCAAACCAAACACTGTTCAAAGTTTACATTGGTGCTCGCTTAGGGGAAAAACAGCAATTGCAAAGGGATCGATGGGGCAGTAAAATAAATGAATTACTATTTACTATTAATATTTTCTGTTTTCTGCTGGGGTAATTGGGAAAATTGCAATTACCTTTTTTCAATAAATTCTTGGTTGGAAATTTTTGAAAAAAGTTTAGTGAAGTTTTAATGCAAATAGTTGTAAATGTGTTGATGTAACGGGGGAGGTCAACCATATACCTGAAGGACTACAGAAAATGATTGTTTAACACTGCATTAGAATAACTTTATATATAAAGTGAAAGGAAGTGCCAATGTAACAGCCTCGAGCTAATAGTGATCAATAAGTCTTTACCTGCATGCTTGTTCATGCGCTGGCTGATAGAAGGTGCAGAGTTCGGTGTGGGGCTGTTTCCCCTGGGAAGAAAGAGAGCTGCACCTTTCACTGTAAGGAAGCTCTCACTGATGCTGGGGAGGAAGAGAGGGAGGAGGGGGGAGGGGGCAGAGAGAAGAAAGAAAGGACATGAACACTAGGTTTTAATGGTCACAGTAATCCTTGTCTAGTCTTTTCTGCAACAATAAAGCTAATTTTATTTGTCACTCCTCTGCACATGATGACCCAAACTCCTTATAACCAGAGGAAGATGGTGGACAGGACACAGACGGGTGTTGTAATCGGCTCGTGTCAGTGTCACAATGCTCCATTCAGCCGCCCTCTGCTCTGAAGACTCGCCGGATCAGAGCCATTCCAGCAAAATATGATTCAGGCCCAAATGTTCAGTCAGTCAGAACACAATGTTCACTGCCTATGCACACAGCTGGATTACACACACTGTTACACACAGACATACTCGCACCAACAGCTGCTAGTACAGAAGGGTGAGAGAAGGAGAGACAAGGGGTCTGGGAAGAAAGAAGAGACAGACAGAGTCTTCCTCTACAAATGCAGGAAAGAGGTGGACATAAACCCGCAAACTAAATTCTAAAGTTCTCTTAGTTTCACTGACTGTGACATTAAAGAAGAGGAGAAGTTGTTTGTTTCAGTAACTGTTTTCAGTCTCAGTCACACTTTACCAGAGTCATACATGATATCAATGAAACTTCCTGAAGGACCTACATATTTTTTACAGTCGCGTGTGACAGTGTCAAATCACAGTCACACGACACTTTACACCGTGACCTCAATATGATGTGATGATCAACAAAGACTCAGCCTTAAGGCCACGTTCACAATAGCAAGTTTTTTTGAAAAGGAAAAAAAAAAAATCTTCTTTTCACAGATAGTTGTTTTTTTCATTGTCTGAAAACAATATATAACCAAAGAATTCCACTAAAAAAATGAAGACTACAAACAGATTTTAAAAGTCTAAAAGTATTTTGGATTTTATGTAAGCGTTGACTGTCAAATGTAGAACACCTGTAGGGGGCAGAGTTCAAATGTCTTGGCTAATCTGTTTGTTGTAATAGCTTTAAAAATACCAGTGTCAGTGTCAGGAAATCATTTCTCGCTAATTGGTAGAAAACGTAATTACTTGCTGATGGGCTATAGGTCAGGGGTCTGCAACCTTCGACGCCAAAGGAGCAATTTTTAATATTTTATTGTTTTAGCAAAACAAATTCACCGAGAGATGTAAAAACATTACAACTATTCAAAAGATTAAGTTTTAAGTAATGTATTTGTCACTAATTTAAAAAAGAAAGCTGTTGACAACATGTTATTGTTTAACCTGTTGTTCCACATCATAAAATAATGGAACGTTTTCTACCGGCGCAATCAACACAATGTTTGGAGCAGAACAGGCTAAGCTGTAGGCGGCGACATTTTTTCCAACCGAGTTTGGCTGCTCTCTGCTCACAAGCATTTTTAAATAGGTCAAATACTGTAAATGTCAGTGAAACCTCTATTTTCTTCAATAACATACATACTCAAATACGTGTAAATATAATGGCAACAAACAGTAATACAATTCCAGAGAGTTGGTCGACCTGTTCAGCTCATCATGGAAAATGCTGGTTTCATGGCCTGTGGGCCCAGAAACTCAAGGAAGTAAGTGCGACTGCACATGTTCACACAACAAAGCTCACTGGAATAGATCGACCAAAGGTGATGACATTAGAGCCTAGGGG